CTAATTTCTCCCCGAAATCCTGAATTTTTAATCTCAAAATTCCAAGTATACCATAAATATCCCCCAAAAAATTCCACAAGCTTCATTTATACGAAAAAAAATCCAAAATGAAACGCATGCCAATATTCCAAAAAAATATCAATTGCAAATTTTGGAGATCCCATCAAAAAAAAATTCCAAAAAATTGTAATCCACAAAAATCTAACACCCAACCTTCACACCTAAAAATTTCCAAACCATACCGTCTCCGAACCTAAACCACAGGAGATGCCTCTCACCACCAAATCCCCAAATTCAAAACTAATACCCCTCCGCCCCAATTCCCCAATCGCCCAATCCCCTCAATACAAAACCGTCAGCAAAGTCCATACCCGCGTGCACATTCTTCTTTTATTCACTCGATGGCGATCACAGCCGTGCATACATGTTTTATGCCCTCGTGAGGAGAAGAAGGGCCAGGGAGAATGCTCGCCAGGAGTGGGGGGGCACATGTGGGGCAAAGGGAGGTGGATTGTTCAGACGGATGAGACGATAGCGCAGAAGGGTCGGGGGGGGTTACAAACAAAGCCTCAACAACGGGGGCCACAACTAGCAGGTGAAGACTCGATCGTGGCCGAGGCACGTTGCTTCGGCTCCCTTCGGGCCTTTTTTATTCCCCCCCGCCCTCGGGTCTCGCCCCCCTTCCCCCTCCCCCACAGCCCCCTTTCCCCTCTCCTGCGGCCCCCTTCCCCTTCCTTCCGCGGCCCCCCTTCCCCTATCGTTTCCCGCCACCGTTTTCAATGCAATGTGTTGGGACGCTCTCGCACACAACTAAACGCAAAAACCGTCCGCTGGTTGTATTTCGCCTGGCGTTCGTGCCACGCTCGTTTTGCCGGTCGTCCCAATGCTCATGCCTCAGTCATCCGAGACACGTCTAACTGAATATAACGAGCTAAACCGTTTGCCGTTGAATTCTCTTTATCCGTTTTAGTTCATCAAATTTAATTTAAAATTACGGTTTTTCCAGCGTCGATTGTTAATTGTTTTTATTAATAAGGGTCTGTGATATTGAATTATCACGGGGTAGTGATCCTTGAGGGGGACAGGGGGAGGTTTGAGGGTGCGATGACGCGGAAATAGCCTCGTCCATTGTTCTTCCGTTATCTCAAACGATTCAAATTTGAATTTTCGGACTTCCCGCCGAGGTGGCGAGTTATCACGTGCGCGTTGCAGTTTCTTTGTGCTCTTGTGGAGGTGTGCCAGGTGGGGTGGAGAGGGGTGGGGCGGGAGGGGGCTGAGAGGAGAGAACGGACCGGAAGGATGTGAACACGTGACTGAATAATTTTTCAAGATAATTTCGAGATCATGTACACTAAGTTTGAAGTGTTGAAGGGGTTGGTCAGTTATCTACTTGTTTCAGGTGACGATGAAGATTTTTTATTTCGTTTTTATCAGTTGGAATTGATGAAAACTGAATTGTTGGTTATTATTACGGATTAAGTCATTCATTTTTAATTAATTCGGTAGTGAAGTGGCAGTTAATGACGATGTTTTGAGCTTTTGAATGTTTAAATATTTTTTTTACATCTTTAAATGTCATTCAATTGTCGTTAATCGAAGTTTAATCATGAAATGAAGATTTGAATCGAGGGAATGGCATCGGATGTTTAACGTAAAAGTTTTAAAACTCCCGGGAGAGCGAGTGTCGGTTATCCATTGTAGTATCAGGTGTCGAGCGTCTTCACGACTATTCCTCCGCCCTCTTGTATGCAGTCATGAAGCGTTTGTCTCTAGAACGAATAATACCCCTCCACCTGGGCTCCAACCGTGGAACCGCTTCTTTTCATTTCTTTCGAGCTTTTTTTTTTCTTTCGCTCTTCTCTTCCTACGAGTAGTACAACCTCGCAACCCCGTAGCTCGTACGTGATGAAAATATCGGAGTAATCCGGTGAAACTCAGGCCAGAGGAGGATACTTTCGTTCGTTGAATTGCCGTTAGCTTCTCAACAGTTCTTTCAACTCGTTTCTTCATATTTTTCTTTCATTCTCGTGATTTTTCAATTTTTTTTACCGACTCGGACTATTGAGAATTTGAATGCATCATCTGGGGGAAATTGGAAGAGCTCGAGCGTTCGGAGAAATCATTACTTTGTGCTTCAGAAGTCAGCTTCGCGGAAGAGCAGTTTTTCCTCAATTTTTTTATTTGAAAAAAAATTTTTTTTTCCAAAAATTCGGTTGTTTTAAAGAAAATGATGTAGTTGAATATCAGAGCTTGAATTCACGCTCTATTTGACCCTAGGCTACACAATATTTGAAGGGATTTTATTTTTAGAGCTCTGAAAAAAGCGTCAGTGAATTTTTCATCAAATAAACTCATCCAATTCCGCCAATTTACGACTTCAATCAAATCACGAAAAAGTAATTACGAAGGACTCGTCAATGCTACACGCGCCGCCCCAAGAAAACACAAAAAATTTCCAATGTCATAAGGTTATTACATTTGTCTTCCAATCCCACGAGATCCATCAACCAAAATTACGAACTTGACGTTTTGCAATGATTTTATTATTTAAACGTTGCAGGTCTGAATTTGAATCTCGATATTCAACTGTTAGAAAACCTTTTAGAAATCGGAAAAAAAAATTTTTAATCTTTGGAGGAAGATTGATGGAATAATTTAAAAGTTGCTCAACAAATTTATTCATATTCAGAATTTTACCAGAAATTGATGTCATACCCAAAAAAATAAGGTTGCCAAAAATTTAAACAATTTCAATCATTTATGCGGTGAAATAAAAAAAATCACATTTCAATGATTTATTTCTAGACAACGAATATTTAAAAAATTATAATATTGTGCGAAATGTAATTTGAATGACGCGAAATTTTTCTCACGCAATTTGATTGACAAATTTGATGATATAAAATGGTTGAATCTATAGTATTCTCTGTACCAAACTGCAAAAGCTACTTGGGTATCCTTAAAACCCGAACAGCCGAGTGCCTCCCGCGTATCGGGAGTGCATTCATCAGTTGTCCCACCGTCTCACCCGAAATCCCCCGGAATCGCTCTGAATGCCCAATAACGCTATAAGAAACCTTGAATTCCTCCCATTGCTTTATTAAACTCGTGCACCGAAATGACGCAAAAACCCAGGTGCCCCATCCTCCATCACCTTTCTCGAACATTCTCACATGTTCCTCTACCTGCAGTGGTGTGCGCATGGCAGCCGGCCTGTGCCAGCTGCGCGACACAAAACCTTCCACCGGGCATCGTTGAGTGCGTGATACCCCAACAATTTTTTTTTTATTCCACCACTTCCCAACAATGCGAAACAAAAGATGATCGCGTCACAATGAGAGCCAACGAAACACGTGTAACAGCTCACCAGACTGACCGCTTCCTGATGAACGAGTAATCAAATAAATTTGTCGTGAAAGAAGTCGAAAAATACTTCCCGTTTTGCCCCACAATCGATCTTTTTTTTTAATCGTATTTTATCACGATCGGTCGATTCCAGTGATGCTCAGCCAGTACGTGACGGAAATAACATTGAGAAGACATTACTTCCGATCGTGATCCAGAGGATTCACTCCTCGTTTACGTTCTTTTCTACTAGCCCTCTCCATTCGCTCACTTTGCCCCATTGATTCTTTGCAACACTCCCCTTTTCTCGCGCCACTTTACCCCAGCCCTGTTTTACACTGGTGAATTTAACGACTTTTCATTGTCTATTCAACGACTTTTTCAGTGGTTTGACAGCTCTGGGGGGTTTTTTCCCGTTTCTTTTCTGATGGAACGTTATGGTAATGCAGATGGAAAAGTTGGAACTTGATGAAATTTGTTTTTTCAACATCTTGGGGACTGATTGGGCGAAACGAGTAGCTTTATCTTGAGTTAAGACAGAATTTTTATTAAAGAAGAAATTGGATTTTGTTGAAATGGCGTAATCTTCGAAAATTGAATTTTTTTAGTTATTGAGATTTTTTAAAGGTTCATAATTAAATAAAATTTAAATCTCGATAGTTCAGACAATAAAATGTATTGAACTGAAGTCAAATGAAGCTTGAATGACAGTTGTTTAATTATAAATGGTAAAAACAATTAAACTCGGTATTCATAACGTCTTTTCATTGTTCATTCATCGATCTTTTTTTTTTTTTTTTCTGAAGTACATTGTGCAAATGCAAGTGGAAAATTTTGCACTTGATGAAATTGACTTTTTTAATATTTTGAGGACTGATTAAGCAAAATGAGTGGTTTTATCTCAATTTAAAATGAAATTGTTTTCTGAAGGTTTAGACTCGAATAAAATTTCTACCTCCAAAGTTGAAACAATAGAAATATTAAAAATAAATTTATAAATTTATAAATTACGAATTAGAATTGGTAAATTAGAAAATTGTCAACTACAGATGTTAAAAAGGATGGGATTTTAATCTTGAATCGTCTTTTTATTGTCTGTTGACCCGCCTTTTCTTCGTTTTTGTTCGCTTCAATGTTTCGTTCGGATGAAGAGGGGAACGGTCTTTGAGTTAGACCACTTGATTGTCCCTTCCGCTTATTTATTCAATGCTGATATCTCGAGATGTTTGTATTATGCCTCCCAAAACCCGTTGTAACACTCGTGAACAATGTCATTTGGAGATGTGTGATGGTAGCATTTGTAAGCTTTCGGGGCTGTTACTGCCATTGAGGATTATTATTCAAAGAAACATTGAACATTGCGTAAGGATTTTTCTTTAATAGAGATTACCCGTTTTTATTCGCCTGTCATAGACATTCTTATTTCGCAATAAAAGATTATCGAGGAGAGATTCTAATGGGAGATGTTTCGCGGGAAAAGTTTTATCGAATATCGACAGACGAATTTATCGACGTTACGAAGATATTTGATGGGAGTTAAACTCTCCGTGAAAACACTCAAAGATTTGTTGAATGTTTAAGTTGGTTTCAAGTGTTTAATCTTTTTTTTTCAAAAATCCTTCATCATAGGTAATGTAAATTTATTTTTGTTGCAGAACGCGAGAGACATGGGAGCAGATTGTCTTCGTAAGTACTTGAACGATGAAAATTTTATTGCCCTTTTTAATTAGCCCCTCTTGATGATGATTGATGGTGGGTTACAAACCCAGACTGATTCAATCAAAACGGGGAGCCCTTCAAATTGTCTTCATTCTCACAAAAATCACACACAATTAGGAGCTGAAAACTTTATTCAGACCATTGTTTTCATAAAATGAACGTCATTTGCTCTTAAAATCTTTTAAATTGATGCAAAATTTAAAATCAAATTTTCAAATTGAAAGATTTTTTATCACATCTCAGTACTTATACTCATTAAAAAATTTTGGCTGAAATTATAAGGAATTTTGTCATTGGAAATTCAAAATTTTATGGGAAAATCAATGGAAATTGTGAATTTCAGCTCAATTATTTCATGAAAATTAATAGAAATCTGAAATTTTCTGAGCACTTTGGAACTACTTTCTAGTGATTTTTAATTAAATTAAAAAAATTTGCAGTGAAATATTTCAAAACATAAATATTTTTAATTAATGCACTATTCTAGAAATTAAAAATTGAAATAGGATGGACAGTTACTACTCGAATTTCCAGTGAAAAAATCAATGTTCAGTACAGAATTACCAGAATTTTCCTTCTATTAATTTTAAATTTAATTCAATGTCACTCTTTTAAAAATTATTGCGCACCAACGTGTCTAAAATTTTTTCAACTCCTGAAATTCCCCCGTCCCCTTTCACCAAAAAGAAATTGTCCTCGATCAATCTGCCTCGATCGACTCGAGCCATTAATTCCTCACAATGGATTCCAGAACACATCCCCCACCCCGCCATCACTTCTATCCCCAAAGATTGATATGTTTATACAACCCCCTATGAAAACAAACCCAAAAAACCCCAAAAATTCTCGAATTCCCGGGAATTTCGTCTGCTCCACGGATCGTCGTAAATTAGGTTCCGGCTCCGTATGCCCTTAGCACAGTTTATAGATGATGATTCCGTGCTCGCGCGGCAATTTCCTGGGGCGGGTCTCTCGACTCCCCGTATAATATGCTTTATCGAACCGAGGGAATTAATGACCCGTCGTCGCTGTAGGCCCGGGACACACGTCTATCTTCCCCTCAGTTGTACACATATAACACACTGACTCCCCCTCAAACCACTCTCCTATCTGTGTATCGCGCTTTTTAACTCCCTCTCCCACTGACACCCTCGACTTTTCCCGTGTCTCTGGGAGTGTGGCCGCCGGGAGAATGTTCAAGTTTCAACCTTTACTCCAAACCCACCCTATGCCCCTCAGTAACTGCCCCTAATAACCAACGAGTCGACCTGGAAAACTGGGGCGAGAGATCGTTTGCCAGTGAAAAAGCCTCGTACGACGTATCCGTGTTCCTGACGATAAATTAGACCCTTTTTTTTGGTTATTTTTTGCTGTTTTTTTTTTTTTCATTGGTGTGGAAACTATTTTTATATCAGGTGTGGGAAACACGTCGATTTTTTTTTCTGATTGAACCTAAATCAACGTCAATTAATTTTAATTGATGACAATTTATTATTCCTAGTTGATTTTTCATTGTTCAAATCTGTTATTTCTTTTGATCGATCTGACGATAAATGTCTTGGACACTTTATGTGTCACAAGCATTCTATATTCGTGGAATAAATGTGTTGAAACATTTCACATTAATTTTTTTTCAATATGAAATTGAAAATAAAATTAATATTAACAAAAAATATTGTGAGGAAAAACACCTTTTTTCTAATTAAACGTAAATCAATCCCAATTAATTCGAATTGAAGATAATTCCTTATTCCTAATTAATTTTTCTTGGACTCAATTAATTATTCCTTAACAGATCTGTTGAAAAATACCTGGAAACATTTTTTGTAATCCACAAAAGTCTTCAGCCTTTAGAATTAATTTAAATTTTTTACTCACTTATTATTATTTCTCCTGCTCTCAATGATTCAAACGAAATAATTGTCTTATCCTCACAAAATGGAACACTTTACTCAATGATTAATCTTTCAAAATTCACTCATTTGGTTTATAAAACGACCCCTATGTTGACACTTGCACTCACGAACGCGAAATGACGAATTTTAAAACACTCAAGTGGCATCGGGGCACTCGGTAACAATTCCTACTCCTCAATTACCTCAAATTTCAATTCCCAACTGGAAGAAGTGAGGTGCGAAGGACGGCAGATCGCAATTCGGCTACTGGAAACCAATTTGCGATAACGTATCTGCAATACATCGAGTTGCCTTTCCACCATCAAGCGACTGGAAATAAAAATCCATTTTCATTGTTGAAATTCTTGAATTCCGTTCGTCTGAACAAAAACTCTCCTTCACCACTGGAATCTCATGTTTTTTCTTTAGTAAAAAAATCATTATTTAAATATTAATCAATAAAATAAAATAAAAAATCTTAATGAAAAAAATTGAAAATGAAAATTTGTGCATTAGTTCATGAAATGAATTCTCGTGACATTTCTGAAATTACTGAAGTAAAGCAAGTATTTTTTTTTTGTTCAGTCACAAGGTCCCCTGTCTTTCCCATGATAACTGCCAATTAACGATAAAAAAATTAATAGACCTCACCAGAAGAGCTGTTGACGCAACAAACGGGCAACTGAACATGCGAATAGCCTCGTCCACCCCATAATCCCGAAAATACCCCGGATCCTCCACAATTACTCTCTTAATAATTTCATTAAGTCCGTCAGCGGCAGTTTCCTGGATTTATTAACGTTAAAATCCAGTTGTGAGTATATCTTCCGCATACCTCACCACGTGTTCTATTCATAGCCCTTTACCCAACGCTTTTCGTTACGACGCCGTGGATTTTCATATTCCAAACGACGCGCTCAGCGAAATCTCGCACAAATACACGCTATGTATTTTGCCCCGCACCCGGGGGTTAAAAATCGATAGAGTATGAAGCCATTTCCCCTGTTTCTAAATCGACTTTAATCCCCCTCAATGTCGCTTAGGGATATCCAAGTGGAACAGTAGATGCGATAATGGGATTAATTCTTGGAAAATTAATTTTTGGGATTAATTTTGTCATTTATATAACTTTAAAAATTTTCTAGGAAATTCAGTGCTTTGAAATCGAAAAAACTTTAATTTAATTTTCTCTTTTTATAAAAATTATGTAGTTTTGTTTTTAATTGACGCGCTATTAGAAACGAATTATAATTTTAATTGATTAATGATTTTAAGGGGAAAACATTCTGAATTCTTTTAACAGCAGAAAAATGAGAATTCTCGAAATTGACGCTGAATTTGCAATTTTTTTCTTACGTTTTGAAAAAAAAATTGCCCAAGAATTTTTCTAAAAAAATCACAACAGAATAATTTTCATTTTATATAGAAACATAAAAAAAGTACTGATTTTTTTTATTAAATATGTGAACCTTTCAGTAGAAATGATAAAAAAAAGAACATAATTTCCAATAGAAACTCAACAGACTCTCAAATTTCTCAATGTTAAATATATTTAATCCCCTTGAACTCACTAAATTCCAATCAGTTATGAAAAATGAAATAAAAAAAATACAGTTCATCTCCCTGTGAGAGGTGAGTCCTCTTCTTTTTCCTCTTTGTCCTCCTCAAGGGGTAATAAACATCCGTTTTATTCGTCCAGAGATACCAAATGCTTGAAACTAGGGGATAAAAACTCCTGAAGTGAGAGAAGAGATGGTATGATAGTTCGGGAAGTGAGTTTTGGACGATTGGGATTAGAGAATACCCCATCTCGTTCTCTCTAACATGAATGGGGTGGATTTACCGCGTATAGTGCGCCCTTTTCCCACTGGAGACCGAATGAAACTCCGTGGAATGGGGAATGTGAGGGCGAATGTGTCGCGAGTTATCGTCGATTCGCGCTCGTTGCGTTCATCCCACCGATAAACTCACCCTCCCCAAATTTACGTTTACAATCTGGTTGTATTTTCCTGCCCGGGGTTTTGGGTCAAAGAACATTTTAAATGGCTTCAAATGAATTCTGATCAATTTTCAATGATTCGGGGATTGGAATGGATGAAGCATTGTGGAATAGATGCTCAGAGGAATTATTTTTTTCTATTCGATCAGGTGATTGGGGCATTTAAGGGACTATTTAACCTCAATTTCATTGAAATTTCGGGTTTTTCAAAGTAAGGAGAATAAAGCGAAGGTTTAATCGAATAAAACAATTTAATTTTTGAATTCAATTTTATTTTATCCATTTATTCAATGTTGAAATTGATGAATCGATTCCTTTTTCTCCTATAAAAAAATAAAATAAATTTACAAGTTTCATTTCGTTTCAATTCTGTAATTGTTTAAATTGCAAAATTGAAACGAAGAGGAATGAAGTGAAAAAAAAATAAAAGTTCAAATTTCAAATGAATTCTCGTTAATTTTCAATAATTCGGGGATTTGAATGGATAAAAGATTGTGGAACAGATGCTGAAAGGAATTATTTTTTTCCATTCAATCAAGTAATTGCAGGATTAGGGACTATTTAACCTTGCTTTGATTGAAATTCCGGATTTTTTTTATCAATGGAGAGGAATAAAACGAGAGTTTCAATCCGATAGAACAATCAAATTTTTCAATCAAATTTCATGTTATGCATTCATTCACGTTAAAATAAATGAATGGATCTCTTTTTCTCTTATGAAAACAGAGAAACAAATTTACCAATTTCATTTCGCTTCAATTTTGTAATTTTTTTTAATCGAGAGGAATAAAATAAATGTTTCAATCGAATAAAACAATTAAATTCTTCAATTGAATGTCATTTTATCCATGGATGCGTCGAATGTCAAAAAGAAAAAAAAAGGAAACGAAATTACAAATTTACCTTCGTTTCAATTCTATAATTTTTTAAATTAAGAAGAATGAAGTAAGTTTTCATCAAATAAAGCAAATAGAATGTTTATTTATTCTTTATGACATCCCCGCAATTTATTCAACTCACAAAAAATTCATCTCACGCACGAAACCATACATATGAATGACCTCATCTCCCCTCATAAAAAATAGCAAACCTAAATAATTAATTTCACAATTCTGTCAAAGCCCCGAAAAGGGGGAGATGAAAACCGCATTTTGTCCCGGGGGTTAAGAAATTGACGTCCCCTTGACCGCAATAATTTTCCTCTCTCCCACCCCAAGAAGCGTAGAAATACAAGATACAAAATTGCATCATCTCGTTTTTCTTGCAAGCACTAACACCCACAGGCATACAAATAAAATCTACCACGAGGAGATAGAGGTAAAATTATTACCCAACTTCTCTCTTTCTCCTCCTCCATTGCAGATACACGTCTAGTACGTAAAGGTATGAACCCGACGCGAAAAAGTGAATAAAAAAGAGGAAATCTACAGAACTAAAAAGACAAGTGAGAGAAAAAAAAATCATGCAGAGGAGTTGTGGTGGGAGAATGAAAAAGAATGAGAGAATGAGACGGAACAGTATTGTGAGGATGTTGGAAAAGAGATAGTGTCGCTTGTGGAGGGGAGTGTAGCAGAACTGGAAAACTAGTATGAACACTTGGAAGTTGTGGAGTTATTCACAAGCTGTTTGAGCTCTCCTTCTCGCTTGGAATTCACTTGTTAATAACCTCTGGTGAGAAGTTCCAGAAACGTTTAAATCTTTGAGCAATTCCGTGAATTGAACACATTGTTATTGTTATCCCACCGATTGCAAATAATTATTGATCGTGATGGGTTTTGAGAGCATCGAGGGGAGATGAGGCATTTTCATCCGGCCACGGAAAAAAAATTTTGAATTGAGTATATTTTATATTAGAATCAACTATATGTATAGGGGCGGGTGGGGTAAAATGGACACTTTAGACTTTTTTTGAATTACTCATAACTCATAAACAAATTTATCAATTGAGCTCAGTTTAGGCTCGCCACAAAGGGAAAGAATTGTTCTTTGTATTGAAAAAAAATTAAATTTTATCAACATTTCAACCCCTAATTAACATTTAACAAAAATCAAAATTGTCCGTTGTACCCCAACCTCGCCTAAGCCTGATTTAAGAATGAAACATATTTGATTCAAGTATATACTTGAAACAGCTCGCTACAACCCGGCCTGATACAAAAAAATCATCTTCAAATTGAACTACCCATCCCCCAATTGAGTAAAAAATCTACTTGATTCACCTGTATTTTTTTCCGAGTCTCGAGATCGACAGGGTGACGTTCAAAAGTTTTCTTTCACCCCAAAGGTGTTTTTTCAAGCTTCAAAATGACCCCTGAGTCATTCAGCTCGCGTCGCTGGCTCAGGAGATATTGATGATTTAAGAGGATTCATTTTACGGCACTAATCGTTAAACGTGAAAGAAGATATTCACCGGGGTAGAACGAAGCAGGTCTTCTTGTGCCAGTACTCAGAGAATGAGTTGAGAGAAGTGAGGAGGGAATGGTTCAAAAAAGGGAGTAACACAGGGGATGAAACACTCGAGTATATCGATTGCGAAGGTTTCAGCCTGCACTGGTGAAATGGGAAGGCAAAATGAAAAACGTGGGGTAGGAGAGAGAGAGAGAGAGAAAGTGAGATTGGAAGGGGGTGAAAACGGTTTCTCTGTTGCTACCACCCACCATGGATGTCATCCACGCCAGTCGACGGCGCGCAACGGGTCGTCGACCGAAGTAGTCTTGTGATACCAAAACCTCATCCGCATGCACTAAAAACGAGATCAATTGCGATTGGATTCGGGGATTCAGACGGGGGAGGAAATAGTTCTTTCCCAAAATGACTGACAATTGAGTTTGGGGGATTATTCAGGGGATGACTTCACTATTTACGGGACAGTGATGCCCAAATGAACAACAATAGGGTTAAATCCTTTAAACTTTTTTTTTCTGGATTTTTCTCTTGTTTTTTTAATAGTTGTTGCGTTTGAATAAATATCCCTAATTATCAATTTCTCAGCCATCACCAATTCCAATTACACATTCATACACTTCCACACACTCATAAAAAAACAGAAAACAGTAAAAAGAATGAAGATAACTCGTCCTGCAAGAAGGTCTGCCGGAAGCCAAAGCTCGTTACACGCGCGTCGCCAAGTTCCACATGTACCTGAATCCTGTTACCTCCGCCATATACACACCGGGTAAATCGTGAAATAGAGCCAGTTTTCATGTTCATAAAACACAAATGATACTAAACACGGGTAATAATACCAGAATATAAAATTTCGTAATTTTATACATCAGTCTGATGTCGTCCCTATTTTCCCACCATTAATTGACATTTGACGGATAATTCCGGGGGTCAACCGACAGACAGGTGATTTGAAAAATGATCAACTGATGGGGGTTTGAGCGCGAGAAGTGGAGAACACTCTGTCGACAGAGTCGATGAATCTTGCGATTAGCTGGTGCAGATCTCTTGGCTTTTAAATCCTGAGTCTCAGTTTCTCTGTCTCTATTTTTCATCTCATCTCTCTCACTTCTTCCTTCACTTCGCTCCTCCTCCCTCTCCTTGCCCTGTTTACTTTCAATGCTGCAGTTGGGATCCTTATCTTGAAAATGGAAGACTCGTAAAACCAACGAGTTATCACTCTACACTGGGAACACTGAACGTAAAAATAATATGTTTTTATAATGAGAGTGCGAGAGTGAGTTCATAAATGGAGACTTCAGGGCTATTTTCTTTATTATTACGATATTAAGGAGTAGTGTTGTAACATTGGAGAGAGACAATGGTGATAATTTATGGAGATAATTAAATTGACCCAAATAATCTATAATATCGTGATGATTATTGACGAATGAGTGAATAAATCAATTAAATTAAATTACCCTGTACTGAACAAAGGCGAACACCTCTTCATAATTCATAATAAATAAACGAAAGTTTCACAATCTGTTAAAAAATTTGGGGGGAATGATTGAATAAAAAAATGAAGTGAGAATAGTCCCTAAACTCTTGCATAATTCAACGCATGAAAAAAATAAAATAAAATATTGGCCTCGAATAAATGAAACAGTGCATGATGAGAATTCACTCACCAATCGTAAAAATAATGTTTTTATAATAAGGCTGGGAGTTCATAAACGAAGAGTTCGTATCATTAGCTAGAGTATGCTGATAATTTATGGAGATAATTGATTAATTCAGCCAATTCATCAAGTATTTCATGACGATTCCCGATGAATGAAAAAATAGATAAACCAAAATTACCCTGACCTTAAAAATTCCTTCATAATTCATAATAAATAAGCACCAGTTCCCCATTAAGTCAAAAGAATTTGCGCGAATGATTGAATAAAGAAATGAAGAGAGAATAATCCCTAAACTCTTGCATAATTCAACCACTCAAAACAATATTAAACTGTTGCCCTTGAATGCATGATGAGAATTTGCACAGTTAGAGATCCTCGACATTTGTGATTTCCCGCAGTGACAAGTGGACGAGCCCACAAAACGGGTAAACCTCGGGGTACAGTGCCGTGTGGAGGGGCGAGGGGAGGGAAAGAGAATGAGAGTGAGTGAGAGGAGTAGTACAGTGTGGAGTCAGGTAGCGAACCTTCGGACGCTTCGGTAGTAGACGGGGGTAGGACAGGAACACACTGAGGCACATACCCGGGGTCGTTGTCCGCTGTCCTCTCTTTGCCTTCTACATATATTGTACCCACACTTATGTATGTTCCCGGGGTATATACGTTTTAACTCCGGACTCAGCGGCACTCATGATGCCACTGAGTACTTTCGAGCTCTCTCACAAATTATTATCATTTTTTTTCCCCCCTATAAATTTCCTTGCGCTCTGTTGCACCATCGATGATCATATTCACTGTGTTTACCCTGTAATTGATACTCACCCTCCCTAATTGGAGGACTAATCATTGTTATTTTTTTCAATCCCAGTGATCTGGCACGTGATTTAAGCCTCTCCGAGGACAGCGACGACGATGGTCTCAAGGTGAGGAAATTTATCATTTTATTTGAATTGACGAGATATATTTTTCACACCACTGGGATTAACTGATTTAAAGATTAATCCCTGAGAGAATGTTCCCGACAATTCCCGACATGATCGTAAAATGAATTTATTTTCCCAGCAGGGTACGACATCAAGGTCACAAAGGCCCAGATCTCCCGTGCCAAGTATCGAGTAAGTACTGCTCAAAGACCTGGCCGACCCAATCAATCCCCAAATTAACTCCCCATCATTATGAATTTCAGCTTGTCATCAGCACTCCTCCCCCCAATGATGCCAGCGCCTCTTCCCCTGGCGCCAGTGGAGACATCCTCAATGGAGATGTCTCCACTGGGTCCCCTGTTGCTCCCTCGTCCCCTATCGCCGCCAAGAGCGACTCCCCCAAAACAATTATCACCGGAGCGTGTGCTGTCACCACTAGCCTCATCCCCTCGAAAGCACTCTCAGAGTCCTGGTGTCCAGTTGCGACCCCCAAGTCCACCTGGCCACGCACCCCAGAGCTCTGGATCAGCCTCGTCGAGTTCTGACTCGGGTTCAGACTCCGGATCAGACAGTAGTGATGATTCTGAAGACGAGAGTGCACCGGTGCCAGCTAAAGGTCCTAGTACACCTCCACCAGCATCGCCAAGGGCACCACTGGAGGAGCCACCAGCTGAGGAATCCAAGCCCCGTTGGAACCTGAGCAGCTTCCTTGACCAGAAGGCAGTGCAATCCGACCAGAATTCCGAGAACAAATCCTCCCAGGACGCGCCGGGACGGGACAGTTCACCGGAGGAAGTGCCAAAGGACTCGAGGACAAGTAGATCAGATGGCGATGACGACTGGCAGGAGAACGAGGCGATAAAGAGAACAAGAAGTTCAACCCTAGCAGCCTTGAGCGACAGCGATCACACCTCCGATACAGACAAGAAGAAGATCGAAGAGCCCAGAGTGCTGATACCGGAGAAACCGAAACCCCCAGATGTGCGTAAACGTGGACGACCGAGAAAATCGGTCAAAGAGTCTGTCAAGAGTCCAAAGAGCCACAGAACGATTACCGAGGAGACTAAACCGAGCTCAAAGCGCAACAGGCAGCGGAGTGTCAGTAGTCCCAAGAAGAAGCCACCAGTGACCAAAGCCACTGTCGAAAGCAGCGAGGACGAAGCCAGTGATGTCAGGTAAATTAATCCAACAATTTCGTTATTTAATTTATTTATGGCTTTATCGTGGAGCTTGCTGTCGCGTCTTTGGGAAAGAACTGAAAGCAAATTCTAGTCGTAAATCAGCGGACTTTTCGATCATTTCAAACTGCAGAAGAAAAAGTAGAAAGGACAACAAGAGTAGAACATTGGAAAATAAAAAAAAATGAGATAAAACACGTTGAATTCCGTTATTACTTGCTATTTCTGCATTCACCAACGCCAGAGCTAAAATCGTAATTCACGCTGGGATAGACGGCCATCAATTAATCGTGAACTTTCTATTTTGAACGCGATCTCGGTTATTAATCATGAATAGAAAGATATTACTGGAATGTCAATCTCATTTTGATTCACAAATCATCGCGATGGTAGACGCTGGGGGAAGTTTATTTCCGTGGATTTATATCCAAAAGGCAGTTATTTACAGTGTGGTTGACAAAATGCAAATTGATTGAGGGCTAATTGATCAATTATTCAGTTTATGGTAATTGGGGTAACTGTGTTAATAAGTATTTCACGTTTTGTGGTCGTCGAATTGGATTGTGAGTATTACATATGTACAATTTTCATGTTTTTGGAATCGATTTCGATATCAGACGAGATGGAGGGATGGATTTTACACGAAATGAATGCAAAAGGTTCTATTATTGCGGCAGAAATGACTTTGTTAGATTGAAGGACTGTTCGAAATGAATAATTTTCTGTTGACATCACTGTTCAAAATTTTTGGTGCAATTATTGGCAATTTTTCGCAAATCACAGCTTCACCGAAGTTTTAAGAAATTCCGATTTTCTGAATTCAAAGTTTTCTATTAATTGGTGTTCAATAATCATGTTTTGATGAAAAATTCAAGCAAGTTGAAGAATTCTCAGTGAAATTCGATCTTTCATTATTATTTTTCCCCCTTAAATTGAATTCAATATGAAAAATCAAGTCGTTCTATTCTCCCACGTTTTGCCGAACGGTCCTCCACGACAACAACGTCCCCCCCACCGCCCCCAATTCTAACCCTCTCATATGGATCCACAGATCAAGTGACTCCGAATGCGACCAGAGGATTCCTCCACCAGCCGCACTCCCGGAGAAGCGTAAATCCCGACTGAGTTTATCATCAAGTGAAGATGAGAGACCAACAAAGCACAGTGCCTCTGAGGACGAATCCGACTGGAGAAGACTTCCCACAAAGCGTTCAAAATTGATGGACTCACCAAAGAAACAGGAGAAGAAGAAGAGTCCAACGAAGGGGAAGCCTCGACGTCCCCGATCTCGTGTGACAAACACCTCAGGTTGTGCGAGTGATTCGGACAGTGAATCTGAAACAGCTCATCGAAACAATAGGCAAATAGCGAGGGTACCACCGCGTCCACGAGTCCCCCCAACACGTGCAACATCGCTTGATAATTCTGACAGTGACAACAGCTCAGCGCCAAAACTCCAGGAGGAGGACGGTGGTAATGTACAAGACAAGAAGAAGAGTGACACATTGAGAAAGCTCTTTTCAACGGCCAAGGGTGGTGCAAAGGGCGGTGGTAAGGGTGGTAAAGGTGGCAAGGGTGGTGGTAAATGTGGTATTTACGTTGAAGAGTACACAGGCTCAGCAAACACACCAACGGGCAGTGAAAGCCCGTACAAAAGGCCTTCATCGCAGGCTTCCACATTACCAAGTTTTCCATCCCTGACGTATGCCAATGGTATACCAAGTTTAATATGTAAAATCGATTTAAATAGAATTCCCCACATACCCCAATCGTCGAGGGGACAGGAGCTCAGAGAGAGAACTGAGTTGCCTGACACAAGGCCACCATCACGACAATCTAATGTTAAAACAGAGCGTCCACCAACACCTGAAGAGGGCGAAATTGTTGATACAGTGTCACCAACGGACTACAGAACTCACGGTGATAACAATGAGATTGATGATAAAGTTAAACGTACAATTAAAAGTGATAATGATAGTAAAAATAGAGCGGGTCCCAGTGGTAGTGGTACAAGTGGTGCTAGTGGATTGAACGGTAATGCACCTAAACGAAAACGTAATCCAAGTTGTAGTTCTGTTTCGAGTGTTAGTGTTTGTTCGGTTGAGTCTAAAGTTAAGTCTGAGCACAAGGAGAAGAAGAAGAGGAAACGGAAACACGGGGACAAGGAGGCGGCAACGGGGAGACCTGCTTCACGACAGGTAAAGATCATTTTCTTGATAAATTTGGGGAGGGAGTGGCCTAGGTGGGTGGCGAGGGATTGTGATGATACGTTCGGAAAAATTGGTGGTTAAATTTTTGGCACACTTTTGGGATTTTTTTTTTTGTAATAGAGGTCAGGAAAATTCAGATGAATGTATATTCTTGTCCTGATACTTTGGTTTTCAAGGAAAATTCAGTGAATTTTGAGTGAAATGTGAAATTTCATGATTTTTCTCCCCCTAAATAGAATTAATTGTCAATCTACTGACAATTAACAATGAAATGTTCATGAAATTTCACAATTTGATGAAGGAATCGCTGAAAACTGTAAATTTTAGTTTAATTATTCATGGAAATTCATCGAAATTTGGCATATTCAGGTGAATATAGTCTTGAATTTTTATTTAATTGAAAATTCAGCGTAATTTAGTCATGAATTTTTATGCTTTTAATCAAAATTTTATAATTTTTCTCTCCCTAAATCGAATTCAATGTCTCCTGAACATTTCTAATCAATTGTCCAGTTTGAATTTTTTCCCAACAATATACCATCTTGCGAGTAATGACAAGTATTATCACATACTCTTGAACACAATATTTTTCCATCAACATTGAATGCGGGCTTGTGAGTAAGTGGTATTGATTTACACGTTGTCTGACGTAATTCGAAGCTAGTTCGCTCAACATTCGAGAGAATCGATGGATCTTTGTAACGCGATATGGATGATGTGTCGGGGTGTAAACGTCATATTTTATGATTACGGTATCCGGGTATTTTATAAAATTCTCGATAAAATTGACGACATAATCGTGGTTCTTTCAACGCAAAGTTGAGCCTCCAACAATAGTTACCATCAAACTTTACCAAGATAATGAACTCGGTTCTATTCAAACTTGCAACATCATTCAATATTATTTGCTGGATAAACTTGTAGATGTTGCTAAATTACTCGACTATATTTAACCCAGAATGATGCACAACCAACTAATCACGAACGGGAAGACAAGCCTGATATTCACCTGCTGCCACCACCGGCAGCGCCACCCCAGAGGGTATTCTTCTCCTACTTCAATCCCCTGAATGAAGTTCAAGAGGACCAGGTTCGGTGAGTACAAGATAAGCATGTTTCTACCGTTAGAAAGTTAATTGGAACTTCTATCAGACTCCATAGTTGGCTCCTTCAGACGGAAAAAGTGTCTATGAGTTGAAAAAAGAAATTTAAAACCCCATCAAACTTTTTACTTTATAATAACGTGAAAGCAGATTTTTCTTTTTAAAGCAGAAATACTGAAGATTGTAAATACAAATCCGTTAAAAATCAGCAATGGTCAATTACCCTTTCGAATTAATTCAGAGACAAACATTTGTACCTGACAATTTTTTTTTATGTCGGATGGAACTTTCATCAAACTTCACAGTTGACTCCTCAAGATACTAAAAGCGTCTATGAGTTGCAAAAAAAAAATTTAGAATTCTATTAAACTTTTTCAATTCATGCAGTGAAGAAAGATCTTTCGTTGAGCAGAAAAATTGAAAATTTTGATTACAAAACAGTGAAAAATCACGTATTATATAAATCGTAAATTAGACCAGAGTTCAATTATTATTTTCAATTAATTCAGTGACCACAATCAATACTCGACAATTTGCCTCGAAGTTGGATGGAACTTCGTCAAACTTCCTAGTCGACTTCTTAAGATGGAAATTATCTATGAGTAGCAAAAAGAAGTACAAAAATCCCATCAAACTTTTTTCCTTCATGAAGTGAAAGCAGATCTCTCGTTTGAGAGTAGAAAAACTGAAAATTTCGAATCTAAACCCCTGAAAAATGATCAATTACCCAAGTCTCAAGGTGAGCCAATGATAATTATCCTTTGTAATGAATTCAGGGACCAAAATCAGTACCTGACAGAAGCTAAAAGATTGAAGCACAGTGCAGACCAAGAGTGTGAATTAACAGCCCAGGGTATGTTGTACTTGGAGGCAGTCCTGTACTTCCTTTTAACCGGTCATGCTATGGAGTCCGATCCCGTAACTGACAGGGCCTCCTTCACCATGTACAAGGACACACTCAGTCTCATCAAGTGAGTATCCTCTCGACAATTACACCCCTAATGAGCGCCATAACAAAGAGAATGCCCTCCAACATTTCGATTTTTTGAAAAAAACCTTTCTTCTTTAATCACTCAGGTACATCTCTTCCAAATTCAAGAGCCAACAGAACAATTCACCCGAGAGTAGTATACACAACAAGTTGGCGATCTTGAGGTAAGCCATAAGGATCAAGAGGGGTGAACAGCCTCCCTGTACTCCACGAATAAAAAATATCATCATTAATTATTTCCTTGTTTCCTCCAGTTTATGGTGCCAGTCCCTTATTTACTTGAAACTCTTCAAAATGAGGAAAAATGAAACCAAAGAGATTCAGAAGATCGTTGGTGATTATCATCAAAAGGTGAGTTGCTCATTAATTTCATGAAAATGTATTCACATCACGTTTGAATCCTCTTCATTCATTCGTGGGTTTTCTTTTTTTGCATTCGTTTGATGTGGATTTTTATATTTTACAAGTGTGCATTCCATTTCGCTTCTTCACAGCCAACACAGCCAACTGTTGTACAGCCTGAGGGCCAAGGTACTCCCTCTCTCTCGCCCACCCCATCGCCAGCAGGCTCGGTTGGGTCAGTTGGTAGTCAGAGCTCGGGTTACAGCAGTGGTGAATTAGCAAATCGTGGGGCTGCAACTGGACAACCACCAGCAGCAATGTACGTCAGTGTTCCATTAAATGTTCATTCGGCTATGCAGAAATTGACTCATCAGTTTTCATTACTTATGAGTTGCCATGAACTTTGGGATCAGGCTAATGCACTTGTGACTGATAAGCATCGCGGTGAGTACAAGAACTTAATTATGATCATTTTTTTTTTATGGCATTCAAATCGGAAGGTGAAATTCTTTGGGAATGTGGGAATGTGGAGTTTCAGAGGAAAATTTACGAGAATCAATGGCTTGACAATTTATTCTAAATTCATGTGAATAGTGATTTGAATTGTTGTTATCTATTCAGCATTTTCATAAGTGATTTTAGACATAAACATTTAGTCCCTTGACATTCCCAATTTTGTATAAGATAAAAATTACTAGAATTTCTTTTTTAAAACGTGATAATCTTTGATAATTTTATTTTAGATACGACATTTTTTTATAATACTAAAATCGAAAGGTGAATTTTTTTTGGGAATGTGTAAATTGAGTGAATTAGTAAGTAAATTGAATTTTTTCTATCTATTCACCATTTCCTAAGTAACATTCCTAATTTTCCATAAAAAAATGACTAGAATTTTTTCAAAACATTATAATCAAAGGATGAAATCAAGTCAGCTCTATTTATCCCTTCGGAAACTCCTCCAAGATCAAGATGTCAAGCCCCTCGATTTCACGTTAACCCCAACATCCTGTCCTTTCAATTCCCCTCAACCCTAATTAAATAATTCACCATTAACCCCTGAATGTATCCTTTTTCCAGAATTTTTCGTCGAATTGGATGAGAAACTCGGTCCCCTAACATTGAAGAGCTCCCTGCGAGACCTAGTGCGTTACGTGCAAGCTGGAATAAAGAAACTACGAGCCCTCTGACCCCAGTGGCACAGTCCCAGGCCGCCCACTCCCAACTACATAACGGCTCTCCCTCACAACATGACAACGTATCCCACAATGTTCACGTAGCCGTCGTCACGTGTATCAACTCGCTGCAAGGGCAATAATTAATTCAACTAGTTTTCTACAAAAGGGAAGGGAGGGAATGGTAACGAATAAGCTGGGTGGTAGGGACGCGAGGAAAGTCATCCCATATTTATCAAATTGAACAATAGAAGAGGGAAGAAAAATCCTGAATTAATGCCGAGGAGTTTGTTGACCAGTCTCATGACATTGTCAATATGGATTGTCAATAATAACTCGAGTTCAGGTTCGTAATTCATTCTGCTAATGATTGAGAGCACGTTACTTAGTCTTACTGAGCAATTTCAAACATTAAAAAGTGCATGAGACTGCGATGTGATGAATTTACATAATACTGAAGGTATCATTGATCGGTAGGCCTCGATATTTTTTCCCCCATCCACCCTCAGAGAACCAAAATCCAACGTGTCCTGCTTTTGTAAAATGTGCATAGATGAAAATTAAATAAACCTAGTGGTGCTGTCCATTGAGTGAACTTGGCACTACCCAAGTATTCTCGATGATTGATAGATAGAGGGAAAATTAAACTCGACTCATGCGCACTGAAATAGCGCCCACAGAATTATAAATAGTTTATTTACGTATAGACGAATTATATTAAAAACAAACATCAGATAGAACTAATGTTAAACGTAAAATTTAATAAATTATTAATATAATCTGTATATGAGCGCTCTTGCCCTCCTGTTATTTGTGTGTGTGGGGGGGAAAAATTGACAGATTATTCAATTGACCGCGTATGCCTACCGATTGTACATTTTAAATACGATAAATCGCGGATGGAACAATTTTTTGTAGGTAAGATTTAAAAAAATCAGTAATGAGAATAATTTAACTATTAAATTATCAAAAATACAAAAGGAAAAAAAATGAAAAAAAAATCAATACATATTCTTTACATTACCTAGTTGATATTGGGGGAAAACTAGAGGTTTTAGTGAATCAATCGAATATAAATGCGAGAGAAATACCGAAACAGTAGATTTAATTGTGATTGAGAGATTCGAAGTTTTATTAATGAGTAAAAAAAATATGAAAACAAGAAAACAAGTAAGAAGTAAGTTGCTCATGTGTATATTTTTGTAAATAGGTATTGTGAGTGCCGCCGCCTTGAGGGAAGAGTTCTCTGAAAAATTGTCAGTTAATTGCGATTCAAAGAGTCTCTTGTCCGCCCCAAATTTTTGCTACCATATGTCTTACCGAAATGAAAGAAAATAAATGAATTAAGAGATGAAATAAAACGTTTTAAAATTATACCAGATTATTATCTGGCGCAGAATGATAACACCAGTCCACCGAATGTTGTTTTTCCTTTTTTTTAAACGATTATTTGGAGATTTCTCTCAGCCACGAGGAGGAGAAATAGTCGATAATTACTTCCTTTCTTGCTTGTTTTCGTTAATTATCTCATTCTCAAAATCCATGAGTGTTTATATGACTAAAGTGAATGTATCAAAATTTTTCGTATTGAAAAAAAAATATCGAGGAATGAGTTTTTAGAAAGTTGTGAGCTAGGATGAGGAGGTGAAAGTTGTGCTCCAGGTGAGATAGCAGTGAGTTGAAGTTAAACTGGAGACGAAGAGAATGATTCTTTTAATTATCAGCAATTTGAATGGTGGAATCACTCGAGGAGGGCCCACAGGCCCTAAACGTTTTTCCATGCGGTCCAATGGTTCACGGGATACAATTTTCTATTCGCAACTGTGGAACAATGTCGTATGTAACAAGAAACAAATTCACGAAACAAAATTAGGAGATTTTTTCATATTTTAGACGAGTATTTATAAACGATTTAACAAATCATTAGGAAATATCAGGCCCCAGCCCCACTTGAGTGACTTCCACACTTGAATAATTATGGATCATGAAAAATTCTCGAGGAATGGCAATAAAAAGAAGTGAGCAAATCATCCTCATGATATTTTAAAGAATTTATTTAGTCCCCATGAAATGGGATTTTTGAACCTGAAATTAATAAAATAGTCGTGATACAGCCAATTGTTTTTTAATCGAATCGATCAAAAGGTTTTTTTGTGAGAATCAAAACGACTAAATTCCAATCGTGGTTGAGAGAACAGAGAGGGAATGCGTGGAGAGTTCAATCAATTTGTATTTAATCATCAGATAAGCAGTAGAAATGACGTAAAAACGAATGATTTTGATCGATAAAGAATTGATCAATTCTCTTAATCAATTGACTGCTGTTTATTTCGTTAAATTATAATTTCTTTCTCTCGAGCCTTTACCCATTACATCATAAATGTAATATATTTATACATACATATATATGTACACATGGAAGAAGAAGGGAAAATCTTATTATATTATTATCATATTATATTACATTACTATTCATATGATTGCTATATTATTTTATTATATTCGTACCGAACTACTATACATATATGTCTATTTCCGATAAATGTGTCACTGGAGCTAAAAATAGTTTCTGTCCTTACGTTCGTTCCAAAAACTAATAACTAATAGTCGAATCAACAATTCTTTCAAATCCACTTGTAAACGGGTCTATCCAATTTTCATTGATTGAATGATTTTTTTTCTTTCGTTTATCCTCAAAAAAAATTGGTGCTCAATAATGAATTGATAATGTTTTCTTCCCCCTGACGATGGATTTCAATTAGTCTTCATTTTATTTTCTCCATAATTTGTGCTTGACAGAGCCAATTACGATTCATCACATTAACTGCACGCAATTGTTTAAATTAAATGAATGAATAAATGATTGAAATCGGCCATACGGACAAAATCAGCACACACAGATACATTAATTATCTAAAAAACGTAAATTTTTGTTGGCAAGTGTGAGGTTGACGTCAACTCAACAGCAGCGGAAATTAAAAAATTGATGAAAGTGAGATGATAGAGATTACGACAGAGTGAAAGATTGAGGAAATGAAAGAATAATGGGAGTGAAGGGCAACAGCACCAAGGAATGACCAAACTCGCTTAATGAGACAAATGATGAAAAAAAAGAAAACGAAAAAACAACTTAATTACTCGCTTTTTATTTATTTTATTATCATTAATTATTCATATTAATTATTATATTTATTGGTGTGAAGGCTGGATGAGTTCAACAGCTGAGCCACCTCTCCGATGCAGTGAAACAATAAATTTTGTTAGTGAAATTATTTTAATTGTTGCGTAAAGTATTGTTTCCATTTTGTTTTTATTAAGGGAAGATCGATGAGAGACGAGTGAAATCGTTGGACATGACTGATTGTTTTGAATTTTTATCCAACGACGAATCAAATGATATTTTAATTAATCAGCATCAATTAGGAGGCGAGTTCTCATAAATTTGATGGAATTTTTGTGCATAATAAATGAGTAAATATTGTTTTTCATTGATTAAATGTGTACAACGATTCTGCTCGTGTTCTGATGGAATAATCATTTCCTCGATTAATTTATTTGTGATTTATTCAAGTTGGCATTTCTTTTCTTATCGACTGGAGCAACTCATTGATGATTGAGATGAAATAAAACAACAAATGGCGCATTTATTTTCACGACAGTGAATTAACTGTCTCGCGTTTTGAAATAAATGAGAATTGCTTGGGAAAAATCTGTGCAGCTTGCCTCAACGACAAATTAAAATAGATAAAGTTTTTAAACAAAAAAAAATGATGACAACCGTGACAATATACATGTAAGATATTTCGCGAGATATTTTGTGAAGTGGAAGATGAAAAAAAAATGAAGAAACAAAGGGAAAATAACGGGGCTTTTTTACCTATTTTATAGTAATCTCAGCTAAAAAATTGATTGAGAGGGATGGAGAGAGCCTTTATAATGATGAAACAAATAATGATAAAAAGAAAATGTTTGTAAATGCAATTAAAAGTTAGAAAATCGTCGAATACGGTTATGGGGATGGTTCACTGTAAAACGTGTACTCTATGAATAATTTTTTTTTGTTCTTTATATATATATTTTTTGTCTCTTTTTCGTTCATCGTAAGATTTTATTATTTCAATGTTTCTTTCTTTGTCGTTTATTGTTTTAAGTTTGCGGACTTAGGCTTGCTATTTTTGATTATTGAAAATGAAGCAAGACGAGTGAAGGGATGAATTTTACCTTATAATTATTGTGTATATGATAATTGTAAAAACAAAGAACAAACAAAATCGTATTTACTATATCATATTCATTTCCTGAGGCATTCGATTGTCCTTCAAATGAACATATTGTTTAAAATAAAATTGAATGAATAAATAACAAAAAATGGATTATTGTTGATTTTACCTTGAGACAGTGGAGATTATTATTCTGGAGCATTTCAATTTCTTATTGAGCGAGATGATCAAATTTTACCAATTGGGAATTTTTTTTGTGAGATTCGGATGGTGCAGAAATTTCCTGTTATCAACTGACAGTATTTTATCAACTGTAAATTCTTCAAGTCCGCAACAAGTGTATCCAACTCATGATACAGGATCATTTGATTCATTATTTTCATCATTATCGCTTATTGATTATTATTACCTACAGAATGTCATTAGGAGAGTGGGGTAAAACGGATTTTCTGTACTGTTTCATATCTCGAGATGGGCAAAGTAGAATTTACGATTTTTTTTCATTTAAAATGAGATTTGAACTAAAAAAATTCAATTTAAAAAAAAAATCGACTTCGATATTTATCGATTAGATTTTTCATTTAGCTGATAAAATTTACAATAAAAATGTTCTTAAAAATTCATCTCTAAAATCCACTTATCAATGATAGCACTAGATAATTAACAAAAGATGAAGAATAGTATTTTAATGTTTTTATTTTTCAATTAGTTATTCATAATTAATATTTCAAGAGAATTATCAACAATTCAATCAAAACAATAATTTTCTCTCCAAATAATTATTAATTCTCAAATTATTCAAACACATTCAACTTCTTCGAATCGTATGATTTCTTTAGAAGATGAGATTGAATAATTAAAAAAACATTAAGATTGAATAATTTTTTCTCAAGCTTGATTAAAATATTAGAAAACTGACAACATCGCTTCATTTATTTATTTACATTTTTGTAACTGATTAAATTTGAAATACAAATATCCATTAACATTAATTCCTGACTCCCCTCATCACCAACATCACTAAATAATTAACAAAAACCTGAAAAATATAATTTTCAAGCTTTAACTTTCCACTAAATCAATTATTAATCAATATTCAACATTCCAATCGACTCACCAAACTTCAATGGCACAACACGAAGGAAATCTCCACAAAAAATTCTCAATTCTCCTCAAATTAATCCACCAAAAAAATCGTTAATAACCGCACTCGACATTGCGGTTGAATTATCAACAACCGATGCCGTTCCGTTATCAACACCGAATAACGCAGTAACTCTCGCCCGTTCAAAGGGACCGCGCGCTCCCGCGGCTCCCCTAGTTCCCAAATACCCCCACCGCAGCGCCGCAGTCGCCCGCGGTTCTCCCAATCCCGCGACTCGTGCGCCCGCCATTCGCTCGCGCGACGTCGAGCGTCTACCGCTCATAGTCGTCCCCTCCGTTCGGCATCCCGGTGATCCCTTTGTTTTTGTTTTACCCGCACCCCAAACTCGTTTTTCATCTGTTAAAGCCCCTCAAATGTTAATCAGTGACCGAAACCCCATCGCCCCACGAGAGTATAAAATCAAGTGTTGAAGAAGTGATCTAAAAACAGTGAATAAAACGTGAATTGAATAGTGCACATGCGAGAGCCGAGCACCTCGCGCATTCCGTGAGATTCCGCTGGAAGGTTAACCCTCGGCTGCTACCGACACGTCTTCAAGGTATGTGCCAAGGTCACTCTATCAAGCGTAAATATTTGTTTCCCATTTTTTCCCGAAATCCCATTCATCGCGGGCTAGAACGAACGAGTCGTTGAAAAAAGTGTAGTTTTGCTCGAGTGTTTTGGTGCGGGTCATCAGCCTCGTCCGTCGGGGTGAATGGGGTCCGCTCCTCGGCAACAGCCACCTGTTGGCTCCCGTAAAACCCTTCGGAAAATATTTTTCGGAGTAAAAATAACCCCGGCCCGAAATATTGTCAACAGCAATTTCCGGTGCTCATAATCACTTTCGCGATTTCCGGACATTTTTTTTCCTCCAGTCAATCGCTGTTTCCAGCTCGTGAAAATCGAGTAGACTATTGTGTTTACATTCCTCTGTTATCAGCGGCTTTTACCGAGGGGAAAAAATGGCGCAGAAACACGTGTGAGAATTTCAATGATTTTATTAAAGTCGTTTATAGGGTAAACAGGCCAATTACTGGACGGTTTAGGGAAATTCGAGTTTTGTGGTGGGATCTAAAATAAAAGAATCATCTAAATGGGGATATGGTGACTTAAATACCTTCAAGAATGATTTAATTAGCAAAAAAAAAATTATTTGAGGTGAAAATAACAAAACAAAGAATAACTAAATTAAGAAATTGTTGAATGCGATTGAATATGGACTAATAGAAAAAATAATTGAATCACATGATTACACACGAGTAATATTATTGAACGGTGAAATAATCAGTACAATTTTCATTTTATGTATGGTATATTCAATGGAACCTCCGTCAAAAAATTGACCTATTTATTCTACATAACTCAAATTTTGAAGATGAAAAACTGAAGTAAATTCTAAACAGAAGTTGATATGAATAAAAACATCTGAAACTATTGATTTAGAAATATCAAAGTAACACAAAGTCTTATGAATAAATAAATATTTCGAGGTTAAAGAGAAGATTAAAGTGCAGAAAAGAATCTAACAAAATCAGAAAAAAAAAAATTTTATGCCTAACATCAAAATTACCGTCAGTGTCAAACTTTTGCGATAAATAATTTGTGTCTGGGTACCCCAAACGTACAGGATGTGCCCTAGTAAAATGAACGACTATTGTTTAAGAAAATAATTGTAGAGAATTTGATGAATTAATTTTTTACTCTCGTCAAAGCTGAATAATTTTTTTTCGGGAATTTTAAAGTCATTTATCCGCACTGCACCCAACGACTTCCGTGGAGTTTGGATGTACCAATTTAACTAGTGGGCGATATTTAGGCAACTGGCATCATCTGTTGAATACGCGATTTATCGGGATTGTGTAACATTCCCGGTAATCCAGGAGAATCCTCGGATGTTTGTAGTCAGCGTCACACGTGTATTATCCAACAATGGAGGAATTGAAATCGAGGAAGCCTTGAAACATTCCATCCGGTGGGTTTAATGTTTTCTCATCCACTTGTTAGTCTCAAGTTTTGTCTAAACGACCACCCAGGCCTGTGGTATTTTTCTACAGGGTCTTTTTATTTCTCAACTTACTCCCTCTTTTGGCATTCCGAGTCGCCAACCCCGGGGAAACTCGTATGCAGTCTTTAGTTGTGAGAATGGAATTCGTCTTGGCCTCTGCTCGGTGCAAGGGGGCTTTACATTGAAAATGTCCGTGGGTATCTTCTTAGAGAGATAGATCGGGTGGGGGGAGTTAACGTGCGAGGACGGCATGTTAGATTCAGGAGGATCAGGGGATTCTTTGCTGAGGGTGGAGTGAGGATTTTGGATTTTGATACGAAAATACAACACAATTTTAAATCTGGAATTTTCCTCGGAGTGAGTGGTTTTGGGGGGGAATGTGTGAAGAGATTTTTTGAAGAGAAAACGATTCTCTACAGAAAATGACTTCTGACATTTTCTCCTAAATTGAGTAATTTTGGAGATAATTGTACAATTGATAACACGAAACGGAAATGATTTAAAATGCAACAGGAAGAAATGAATCGATTATTGATTTTTGTTGATTATTCGTTTTTTATTATTTGCTAAATTTTCCACAGGAAATTTCACTTGACATTTCCGGCGAAGTTCTTTCATCGCTTCATTTTTATAATTATCCTAGCGATAATTAGAAATTATCATTCATTATTTTGCTTTTCAATTCGAAGTTACGTAACACAACAGGTCCTGTTAGTTGTTCAATTATCTCGAGAGTGAGGGGTTGTATGAAAAAATGCCTGAATAACTTTTTTGAGGAGAAAACGATTTTCTACAAAAAATGGCTTTTGCTATTTTCTCGTAAATTGAGTAATTATGGAGATAATTGTGCAATTGATAACACAAAATGGAAAGGGTAAAAAAAATACAGCCGGAAAGAATAAATCGATTATTGATTTCTTGTTGATTGCTGAATTATTGATTTTTTGTTTACAAAATTCTCCATAGGAAATGCCCCTTGGAATTTCCGCCTAAATTCCCTCATCACTTCACTTATTTAATTATCTTGATGATAATAAAAAATGTTTATCACTTTTTAATGGAAATGCCCAACATAAAAATTTATTTTTGCATTCATCCTTAAACTTCACTTTTTCCATTAAATGATTAAGAACAATTAAACCAGTTCCAACAGACAAAACCATGGAACCAATATTAAATTAGAATGAGAATATTCTCATCTTCTTTGACTGAATTTCCTCACTCAGTTTAATTCAGCACAATTCGCCTAATGGGCCTCCAAAAACCGATATCGTTCGATCCCAGTCAAGTCCTTGGACGGTGGTTAGATCCTTGGGTTCCTCGGGGCACTTTCGAGAATTGGGTCGTGATCAGCCGAGACAAGAAACTCTCAAAGAGCCTCGGGAAAAAATTATGAGGAGAAAAAATTTCTACCGGTCTTTTATCATTCCGCTGAATCGTCCCAGCTACCGTGAAATCGATGAAATTGTTTCAGTTTTAGTTGATGTTTTGTTGTAAAACCATGTAAATGAAGCCTTTGGTATGTCGATGGAGAGAACAAAAAGAGTTGACGGGGGAATTAAATGTCTCGGTGGAATATCGCTTTGTTGAGAAAGATAACAAATAACTTGTGTTTGGAGAATGGATTGATTCCCCGGTAAAAAATAGACTAAAAACACTGTATAAACAGCAATTTTGCAACCACTCCACCATTCACCACTCAAAAGCAACAAAAAATTGTTTTTCTCATAATTTCAACTGCTCAATTCTTTAAAATAAATAAAGAAATACAAACAAGGCATTAATTCTCACCGATGATTACACGTCTCAATGTATAAACAAGACTGCAATCAGGAATTCCCGCATCAATTCTCAAAAAGCGAAAAAAATCCGAGATTTTGTTGAATTAAAGTTTTTTCCATTGAAGAAATAATAATTTCAACTCCTCAACTCTCTAAAATAAAAAAAAAGTTGCATGTTCCACCATGTAAACAAGCCTGCAATTAAAAATTCCGGCATTAATCCTGAAAAAGAGCATAAAATCCTGCGACTTTGTTGAACAAAAGTTTTTCTCCTCAGATTGAAGGGTAAATAAAGTCTGCGGGTAATGGTAGACGCAGTAATATAATTTTTTTTTCCATTCATCACAAGAAAAAGACGAAATGAAGAGTAAGGGGAAAAAGAGATGCAAGTATCAGTTAATGCCGGCCAGTGTACGACCTTGAAGGTGTGCTAGCCGGACCGCCCGGTTACCATCCAGTTGTTCTCAACCTCTTTTCCACTGCCGTTGAATTTTATCATTCACTCTATTGATATTGAATATAAACGAGCGAATACACGTTGAGAATCACTTGGGCTGGTGGTGCTCGTCCAAGTGGAAAGGGCCCCTCTTCCTCTCGAGCTTGGATTTTATAACATACCTAAGAAACACTGCTGTTTCCAATCTCATGGGCTTGATTATTTTCACGGGTCAATATCGCCTGACTAATGGGAAAAAAATTATTGTAAACGTTTTAACAGACAGCCTAATTTATTATTTTTCATACTAATTGATTATTTCTGTTTGGGGGACTAATTGTTTTAACACTTGCAGTCGTTGGGACTGTTACATCCCGTGATTATAACTTTCTAACTAAATATTTAGACGTTTGTTGCTTGAAAAGACATTTTATGATTGGAAATATTTTCTTTTTCTTCAGAATAGCTCATTTTGCTGAGTGAAATCGGAATTTTAGTTTCAATTGGAGGATTTTTTTTCTCTGAATGGGCTGTTGATGATGGATTCTTTGACGTTTCCAGCACTTTCTCATTGTTGAAACGCGAATAATTATATTGATGATGAAGATTATTCCCGAAATGTGATTTTTATTTACTTTTCTAAATCATCTCTGCACCTCATTTGATTCCACTCCAAAAGCCATTTTGAGATTAGAAATATTTCTTGCATTTAATGATAATTCTTGATTGAAAACTTGACACTGTTGAGAGTTTTTAACAGAAAATAAAGCAAAAATAACTTTTTTTAAAGAAAAAAATTGTATTTTTCAATTTGAGGATTTTTTTTCCTCTGAATGGGCAGTAGTTGATGGATTTCTTGACATTTCAAGCACTTCCTGACGTTAAAACACGAATGATTATCTTCATAATACAGATTATTCCCAAAACGTGACTTTTCCTGATTTTTTCGACGAGTTTCCTTCCCCCATTTCATTCCCCTCAGAAAGCACAATTGCTTCGTCCATTAAATGTCTTCACACCACGTAGTCGATCACAATCTTCCCGTCCTCCCCTTTTCAAGCACGCACTTTTCCCGTTTAGCTGGGTCGCGTTCTTCTCTACTCCGATTATTCATTTCTGTTTTTCATTCCTGTGGTTTTCCATTCAAATCTTCTGAAGGCATTCCACGGGAGATTCGTATAAGCTTTCTCCTTTATTTTCCCAGGGTAAACCGAATCTTGAACCCAAGTCTACTCGAAGTACATCGACCTGCCTTTGGGACGTCCTTCCGACGCTTGAAACTACACCCCTGAGTAAACCTCTTCCCTCAGACCCCCATGGGGCTAAATAAATTGTGG